TAATTAATGTTTTCAGTAAACCGTAAATTTTGCTAAAAATTAAAATAACGATTTTCCAAAATAAGTCATGTTTTACGGCAGCACCCCGAATCAATTTTCGCAAAGTAAAAGATTTTATTTTTAAAATAACTTTGCGAAATTTTCGCACTCTGATTTCACGATAAGGCGGGGTGTTACAATTGGTATCAGAGCACGTTTCTGCGTCTCTGAAAAGTTTTTCAGTCAGTAATTTTTTAGAAAAACCTGAACCGTCACGCTCACGCCCCGCCGACTACAGGTGAGTGCTGATTTATGTTTTCAGTTATAAACATATTACTTTGTCTATGCTCAGAATTATGGATCAGGACTTAGTTAAGATGCTCCAATCAGATTCAGACTTTAGAGTTCAGATATGACTCTAGAATTTAGTATTTTCCGATATGACTCTAGAGTTCCTCAGGATTCATGTCAGTATTTATCGGCCATTTTTGAAAACTCATCAAGAGATTTGTGTGCCTTAGTAATCAGTCAGAATATTATCACGTGTTCAATGATGTTGAACTTTCTCAATGTTCAGATGCCGTCCCGTAGGGAACCCGATCACCCGGCTTTTGATTCAGGCCACAGTAGTCGTACAGTTCTGCAACTATCATGTTGAGAAATTCTCTGGGTAGGGAGATCCTCGTATCGTGGACGAGTGGATTCAGAACCTTAGAAAGGGATTAAGTTTAAGAAATCTAGATTCAATTCTAGATTTATTCAAGTCAAGTTAGCAACTTGTCAGGAGATTTGTAAGCATTTGTGATAAACAAATCTTAAGAATCATGTTTCTCAGATATTTCTATCGAAAACTGCTATTTTGCCAATCAAGTGGCAGACTTCAGGGAGAAATTCCTTGATTTAATTCGAGGAATAAACTCAAATTTCCTAAGTCAGATCAGTAAATCATGTTCAAGGCAAAAATTTCCATGTTAAAGGTTGTTATAATTCTCAAGTCATTGTTAAGGTAACGGTTTCCAGTGTATAAGAGTTAATAGTCCAGGTTACCATGGAGGCTTGAAATAATAGCCATTCAGCCGGGTATACCATGGAGGCTTGAAGCTGAAACCGGAACAGTATGATTTCATGTAATAACAACCTTTCAAATCAGTCATGTCAGGTATTTTATCAGTCATGATATTTCAAGTTATGATTTTTAAAGATCAAAATCAGCTAATTAATTTGTACTTGCGGGACCAGTTGATACTGGAGCAGTCTTATACATTTTACAGTTTATGTTCATGATGTAAGGTCGACGTATAATAGTTGTTCAGCCGGGTTAAATGTGACGGTCAGATATATAGACCATTAGTCCAAATTTACCTGGAAACTTGAAGTCGTACCTTATCAAGTCAAGTAAGTCAGTAAATATCACGTTTTCAATCCCGAAGCGACTATTTAGTTGTCTTGGGATAATTTTCAGAGTTCAGACAACGATGATTCAGTCATGTAAGAGTCAAGTCATGGTTATTCAGTCATGAGAATATTCAGGCCAGTCATGTCAAGATCGAGAATAGTCTGTCTAATAAGACAAGACTTATTTATCATTTTCAGTATGTCAGCGCCTCGATTCTCAAATTCTGAAGAATCTGATAAATCGGGGGAAATATTCATTCATGATGTACTTCTTCTTGAGGTTAAGTTTAACCTCGGAGGGAGTAAACAATTGTAGGTACCACAGGTTGACATACGCCGCGACGAAGAAGGGCCAATCGATAGCAACAGATCGTGCCATGATGACAAACCGACGCTTTCCACCCCACGATGCCATGCTTGAATCACAGTACACTGGGAGATTACAGAGAGTTAGTATTAAAAAGTACATTGAGGTTACTAGCTTGAGGTATAGATACGATCAGATTATGTCAACGACGCAGGTGCAATGTTTGCCAGGTGCTGTATGCAGGCGTGCCGCACTCACTTGATGAGGAGCAGGTGTGCCGCATTACAATGTGCCGCGAACGATGTGCCGCGTTGTCAAGCAGACATTCATGAAAGGTAATTACCAATATAGCTAGTTATCCTCATTTGTACATATGTGTATCTCTGGAATCTTCCGTGTGTACCAACGACTGAAGTCTTCACAACCAACGTTCAGACCGAAGCTCAGCAATCAGCCAGGAGATGATGACCAGTACACTCAAGAATTATGATCATCAATGGAACACTTTAATTCAGAAAAGTGTCCATTCTCATTCAGCAGTATCCAACAATTCACTTAATTGTGAATTGATGTATCTT